GGCAGAAGCTACTTATTTATGGATTTTTTCCCATATTTATAAACCAATTTTTGGCTGAGATATGACCATTTTCATTCATTCTGACTGAAAATATTAGGGATGCACGATATTATCGGCATGGTATCGTATCGGCCGATATTAACGTTAAATTTCAATATCGAACATCGGCCATTCTATTAAAATAACTCGCCGATATAAAAGGCGCTGTTTTTGCCTGCAGCGTAACACGATGACGTCACGTGCGCCTACCTGATCTCACGGCGGAGAGGAAAATTCAAAATGTTGGCGGTGTGGAAGTTTTATTTTTCATTGGTGAGGATGTCGGATTCCGAAGATTTATGGACTATGTTGAGCCTCGCAACATCGTCCGCAGTCTGAGGTATTTTTCCGACGTAACGTTACCAGAGTTACATGCCGTCATTTCCGACGTCACTGAGAAGCTAATAGCTGATAGCACAACTTGTTGGGTGAGTTTTACCACAGACATTTGGACGTCGTGTTAGCCCCATTAGCATGATTAGTCTTACGGCACAATGGATAGACAAAATCTTTGAACTTAAAAAGGCTGTCCTTCATGCACAGGAGTGCAGAGGATCCCACACTGCAGCTAGGAACCTGGAACAAGCCTCCACAAGTGAGACAGCATCGCAGGTGACTAATGCTAATAACATTTAACACTTTTCATTTAATATAAGTTAAAGTGCTATGCATATCATATGGCTGTTACTGAATACATGTCACCAGCTCTTACAGCTGTTGCACAATTTTTGTAGCAAATAAGCCTAAATAAGAGGGCTATGTTCTGACAAAGGAACGTATATAAAATATCGGTATCGGCATCGGTTATCGGCCGAATAAGTTTTAACATATCGGATATCGGCCAAAAATCCAATATTGTGCATTCCTAGAAAATATTGAACATTACCATTTTCAGCCGCTAGATAACACTCGAGTAGTAAGGCATGCCGTAGTGTCATGTAAAATATAAAAGTGGCTATTAATAATGACACTATTGGCTTGCCATAGCCTGCTACATTCGTCCAGCTCGCCTGGAACAAACATCAAATCAGCTTCATTTTGCTGTGTCGCCCCGGCAAAACGCAGCTAGTTTGACCATTGAAGTGCATTTATTAAGTAAAAGTTCAACTGAGACACACCTTTACTATAAAATTGAACAAACAAATAATTGATTTTAGGTGGTTATCTAAGAAATGCACAGTGAGTCCTGCCGTGAACGCTCCTACTTACGCGTATCGGCTTTTGAAATACAGCTGATTTGGCCATTAAAGTCCTTTTTATTAAGGAAAAATTAGACTGAGACACACCTTTACTATAATTTTGAGCAAGCAAACAATTGTTTTTAAGTGTTTATCTTGTTAAAGTCCTCCCGTGCATACTCCCGCAGCCATCTTTTGGCAGCCAATCGATTTTTGGCACAACACCGGCCCATGTTTCCGGGTTGTCAGCGTTGACGCGTAACATGTGATGCGTCAGCGGTGATGCATAATCGATGCAACTTATATGGCGAAGCAACGTATTTATGTCTTTTTCCACTTTATTAGACATATTTGCACTGATGCGACTTAAAGGGCGGTGCGACGTGTACGGTGGAAAATACGGTACATTTCCCATAACACAACTTATTGTTTGTGTATTCTACTTCAAATGTGAATAGTCTTCCATCTTTTCAAGAAAAAAATAAATTGTGTAAATATCCATCATCACAGGCTTTTGTTTTTTTAGGCGGTACATTTCTGTCCAAACGGCAGGTGGTGACATTTTTTAAAACTCATACAAATGACAGTTAAAAGTCTCAGGCTGCCCAAATGTCACTGAATGGTCAAATATCTCTGGAAATCACGCAGCTTCAGAGGTTTCGTAAAATCATTTCTCGTAATAAACGGTTTTTGGTCGCAGCCTTTCAGTGAGGGGTGGTGTCAGTCACAAGAGGCCAGTACATCCGGACGCACACTGTCAGAGTGAAAGGTAAAAATTTAAATCCTGTCACCCGTCCATACAAACACAATCAACTGTCACTTCAGCCTGCTTCAGAACTGAAAGCACACACTCATATTCACACTTGTACTTTCTCTCCTCCTCTTTTGTCTCATCCACCACAGCAGTGGTATTACTGTTGTCTGATGTGGTCTGTCTCACCTCATGTAACTATATATTTTTTCACCATCATTCCCTCAGACTTTGCCTTTTTATTATTTTTTACTGTACTGTCTCCATTTCTCTCCTACTCCTACCTTGTCTCTTTTCTTTACTTTTTACTCTGCTTTTCACCTAGCTTGTTTCTGTTTTCACTTCCCCTGCTTTTGAACTTCCACATCTCCTCCGTCTTCTCTTAAACATTCATTCTTAGACCTGTCTAGGGGTTTCCTGTTCATCTCTTACTTTCTTTATGTTCTCAGCTCAGCTTACTTTCTCTGCCCTGTTTGTTCACTTCACTTTTTCTTTTTTCCTTCCTTTTTATGTTAAACTAGAAGCATTACAGACATAAGCTGAATAAAGACCTTGTATTCCTTGAAGGAATGCATATCACCCGCCACCTTTAATGCCAGAGTTTTAATGCACTGCAAAAAATGACAAGGTCTGCTCTCATTAACGTAGCAGAGAGATGTTCTTTCCTTCAAGGAAATTTTATACTCCGTTGCCAATTACTAGAAAGCCACTCCCCCAGCAGCGCACCTTTGTGGGACACCACCAGAAACACTGCAGTGGCCTGGAAGTCAGTTTGCTTTGTGTTGTTACAACACTGACAATCGCAGACATGGAAGTTTTCCAGTTGGAGGAAGAAGAGAAGGTTCAAGGTTCATTATTGTCATTCGAATCACATGATACATGAGGTGGAACGAAATTGTGTACTCAGGGTCCTGGTTACACCCAAAAATAGCAAAAATATAAAGTATAAAAAGGAACATTATACAAGGATCTAAGATATAAACTAAACAATAGTGTAAAAATACAGTAGTCCCTTGTTTATCGCATGGGTTCCATTCCCATCCCCCCCGCAATAAGTGAAAAACTGCGAAGTAGGTATAGTAGTACAAGTAGTAGTAGTAGTAATAAGTAGTAGTTTATATATATATATATATTTATATATACATACACTAAGGGGTTTTTAAACCCTTCCCACACTCTTGCAATATTCTAAACAATGTTTCTAAACCCTCTAAAAGAGCAAAGCATGTCATGATCTCTGCTGCAGTTGCTGGCAGGTGGCAGAGAGCAGAGATCATGACGTTCTGCAGGAGGGAGTTTCTCCCTGCACCTGTGGGCTGCACACAGGTGCAGCAGGTGCTAAGTCATTTAAAATAATTTATTTTAAATAAACAATCCTTGCCGCTCGTGCGGCTCATCCATCAATCAGCCAATTGTGTGTCGTGTCCAATCTTACTTTGAAAAACTGCAAAAGAGCAAGTCCGCAAAAGTCGAACCACGAAGTAGCGAGGGTCTACTGTATTTTAAACAGCAGCCTGAACACGAGTCTGTTGTGAGCAGATGGGTGCAAATCAGCAGCATGAATAATCAGCAGTACAAAGTCACATATAACCAATTAAAGTGGCATTACAGTGGTTATTCTGGTTAGGGATTTATGAGTCTAAGCTTCAGGGTAGAAGCTGTTCCTCAGTCTAGTGGTTCTACACTTAATGCTCCTCAACCTCCTTCCTGAGGGGAGTGGGGCAAAAAGTGTGTGCTGGGTGAGTGGGGTCCTTCATGATGCAGGTGACCCTCTGCCTGCATTTGGAGGTGTAGATGTCTGTGATGGTGGGGAGACTGACTCCCACCAGTTTTCTGTGCAGCCTTCACCACTCTCTACAGAGTTTTTCTGTCTCCAGCTGTGCAGCCCCCATGCCCCCTGCCAGAACATCTTATTTAAAGATGTGCAACGTCATTTTGATGACCGTTGATTCCCGTCGTCTGTTCAGCACCCACACATTATACCAGTCTCTGCCAAGTAGAGATTAGTGGTCACACTGCAAATACCAAATTCCAGCAGCTAAAACTCCCAGTGTCTCTTCAGCCACACTGGTTCCTGAGCAGCTCACATTAACCACCCCCACTTTATATTTCTGGTCCATCACACAATAGTTGATGCAAACCTGTGGGAGAAAAAAGTTCTGCCCAGATCTTGTGTCAAGAACAGACTCTCGGTGCACCTAGAAGGACAAAATGACCATTATAAAAGATAATCTTGAGCTGGATCTACACTCAAGAAGAGAAGAAATCTGTTCTCTTTGATGCAGAGAAACCAACATAAGAAGTGTGACCACTTTGGACAATATCATGGGATATTGTGTGATTGCATAAGATGTTAGCTTTCAGACTGACAGCTACTACCCCACCTAATGTAGTGCAATATAATTAAAACTGACACAGAGAAATGTTTGTGTTAATTAGAGTACAATTAGCTGTGGCAGCCATCTTTTATTGGGGTGTCTCCCAAGGTTCCTCACTTGTAAATGTACAGTCAATGATAATTCTCTGAGAGTTTCACTCTCAGCTGTCCTGTGGTTCACGGGGTATTTCGATAACAGGAAAGACATTGTTGACTTTAACTGTTATTTTCCAAGCTTGGAGCATGTGTTGTGGATGACTCTCTGCAACTACCATACCGTCTTCAAAAGAACTGAGCAATAGCCACTTCTCTGCTGGTTAAGGTTGATTAGCTGTGGTGGCCATTTTAAAATGTGTTGACTCCAAATCTTTAGTTGTACAGGTACACTCAATGGTTACTTCACAAGTTTCTTTGAAATCCATCTACTGGTCTGGTTCACAACATATTTTGCCACAGCTACAAACAAACACACACGAACACGTGCAAAAACATGACCACCTTCACCTTTGGCTTCAGGCGATAATGAATATGAGATCAGTACGATGACAAAACAAGATATAACCAGGCAGCAGTTTTAATTAAAGCAACCCTTCTAGCATAAATGAGCATGAGAATGATTTATAAGATGTTAAGTAACTCTCGTGTCTCCGTCCAGGTGAGCGAAAGCGTTACCAGGTGTTGATCCATGGGATTGAACCTCTGCTGGAGACTCCTCTACAGTGGCTGAGCGAACACCTCAGCCATCCTGACAACTTCCTGCACATCTGTGTCATCCCTGTGCCCACAGATTGAAGCCACTTCCTCCACACCTTGTTACCATCGTGACGACGCTCAGGCAAACCACCTGCCAGCTGGGGACCAGACTCACTAGTGTCATGGTAGAGGTTTTACACTAACAAGTTACAGGAAGAAGATTATGAATATCAACAAAGAATGTAAAGGAGGTACTTAACAGGCCTCCATTTTTCCATTCTCTTGTTGTTTTTCCTTCCCTTTTCTTCTCCGAAACTTGTTCTTGGATGCAAGATTCAAAAGAACTGTTGGGACATTTCTTTACGTAAAGAAATAACTGAACGACAGGAAGAGCTCTCCTTTTTTTGTTTATCTATTTCACCTCTTATTCTTTTTTTTTATATATAACCAAACAGCTACACTGGAGGAAAACAAGGTGTCTGAATTGTAATGTTTCTATTTTACCATTCTGCATCTTCCTCCTCTTTAATCAGACTGTCCTGGAGGCAGCATGATGAGGTTTTCTTTCGGAACTGGTGTATCTTCTGCTCAAATTGCCTTAGTTATTACAATCATTTATAATGGCTGACGTGATGTCACTAAGTTGACATCACAACATGGAGAATGGGTCATAAATGTCTATACTTTATCCCAGAAGTGTTAAATTGCTTCATTTGAAAACACAGCTTGACTAAAAACTCTTATTTGGAGATTTGACGTCATTTGAGTGCCCCCAGGAGTTGGTTTGAACCAAACTTTACACCTCACTGTTGAGGTTAGCATCAGATTTTGATGTATTTGTAAGACAAACAGCGAGCACACAGAATGTCCAACATGCTCTGGTTTGGCATCGTTCCTGAATGAGTATAAATCTTAACGAAACCTGAAAACAATGCTGTTTTTGTTTTGGTTCTAATATTATTTATTTAATGGATAAATGCTACTGATGGGACTTTGTGATTATTAAAATCTAATTGAAAACAATTGTTTTGGTGAATCTGCTGAAAGGGAAACTCTTGTTTGTTTGTTTGTTAATCTAATTTTCTGCAAAGACAGAGATAATAGTTTTACAAGGTAGCATTTGTGCATTTTTAGCAATTTATGAGCGTTAAAGCATCAAGTAAAGGAGCCATGAGGGGGTAAAGAGCTCCTCACATTTTAAGTAGCAGGTGTTGATTTCTTTCCATCCGTGCAACGCTTCATTTGGTTTTATTGTCCGTTTTGTGAGATGTGGCTCTTCTCTCACTGCCAAGCATAAATGTGCATCTGGTTTTGGTTTTTCTTAAAACGCTGAGCCTGGATGATGAGAATATTATCTTTAAGTGTACAGAGTTGATGTGGCTATTCTACGCTTTACACAATTTAAGTTCACAAAACTGAGAACCAAACAAGACAGCATAAAAAAAACCAGTTGAATAAAACCACTTTTTCATTATCTTGCTCTTCACAGAACCTGTTCTTAGCTCCGTAAACCTCTCCTATCAGTAGCATTTTATTAATGCTGCATTAAATCATTCATAAATGACTGTTCATTCATAAAGACGTCTACTGACCTACATCACTGCGTACTGTCTTAAATTGAATGTTTCAGTCTGTTTGGTCACATTTTCAGTGTCCATGCTACTGCCACTTTAACCTCCACATTCTTAAAGTAAAGTGCTATGTGTTGTCATCATTGTGCGTTTCTGTACAATGATGAAATTACTTCTCTGCATTTAACCCATCACACCTGAGATACGCCCAGGTGGAGCAGTAGGCAGCTATGTAAACGCCCGGGGAGCAGTTAGGGATTGGGTGTCTTGCTCAGGGACACCACGACATGTGAGCATGGCGGGGAGTTGAACCTGTGACTTTCTGGTCCCAAGTCGGCTGCCGTACCTCTACACCATCTCAGTCCTCAGAAGCTGTCTAACAAGAAAATAACACTGAAAATGTCACGTTCTGTGTTCAATAAAAGGACTTTGAATACTTACTTGCGTACAACATGTACATGCAAACAGAAAGTGTTTTTTTTTTTTTATTTAGCAATAGAACAAAAGCCATTCTAAAACAAATACTTAGACTTTTGCATAAAAATACATAGAAATTACTCACATTTCCACATGACATATTACAAAATAATTGAATCTTGACTCATGCTCAATAATCCAGGTAGAAAAATCTAACAAAGTTAAGTCAGTTCTTCGGGACGTTTTTTTTTTTGTTGAAATATTTCGTCTTTCATGCCAAAGACTTCATCAGTCTGAGGAGCCGCAATAAACTCAGTCTTATAAATAGCACCTTCACAAAGTGGGTCTTTGTTGGATTTTTCTACCTGGATTATTGAGCATGAACTTTGATGTTTGCAACCACTTTGGCCATGACTGCCTCAAACGAGTCGGTGGGCGAGAGGGCGGACTCCAGAAACCGTCTGAGCACCATCAAACTCAAGTAGGTATCTCTGCAGACAAAAACGTAAGGCGTATCTGGAGGGCCACATCTGATTGGACGGGGAAAAATGGCGTTATTGGCAGATTGTGTTAACCACGGGCATATTATGTCTATTGCGTTAACCGGTTCGACATTAGCGGCGTCTCCATAACTTCTCTTTCCGCCTCTTTTAACACAGAACTTCCAGTTACATTTCAAAATAAGAGCAACTGAAATGGGTAGTGGGGAGGGCTAAATATTTGTTTTTTAATACCTAGCCATTATATAAAAAAAAACATATGTTTTGGTTGTTGAATAATGTGAAAATAGTTACAATCGATAAGAAAAATAAAGTAACCAAAATAATAATGATACTTAAACTGGCTTTGGGACAAAGGATGTTTCCTTTAACGTCACATTTTCTTGTTCAACTTTTAAATCAGTCACTGCAGATGAGTGATTGTCAGTTTCTGTAAGATTCCTGCAACTGGAGCAGGTTTACTGGTGAACTTCTATCAGCTGTCTCAGATTTTAAGAGTCAGTCCTACTCCATGTTTCAGCTCCTTTCATAGATCTCATAGAAGAACTTCTAAAGAGCAAATTTTGTTTTTGGGCCATCATCTCGTTACAGGACTCATGATCTTGAATTGAGACCAGACTTTTTGACAAATGGGAGCATGTTTTGCTTCAGATGCTTCATATTTCATTGTACCCAGACCACACTCAAGCCAACCTGTGTCAGGTGCAGCCTACAACCCAAGAACAAAAGAGAATCTTCTTGTGTTTGACAGCAGATATAACGCTGGTTCTTAGAAACCTTCAGTTTAAAAAAAGAGTTGACGTAACTTAACTAAAGAGCAGCAAATACAACTAACCAGTCAGTGTTTGCCCTCTAGAAACACCTATTCTCCAGAAACACCCACTTTTGGTCTGCAGAGAACCCCTTCTCATCAAACTGGTTGACCAACTATGTGAAGGTGCTGTTTAAAAGACTGAGTTTGTTGTGGCTCCTCGAACTGATGAAGTCCTTTGGATTAAAGACGAAATGTTTCAACAAAAAGAAACAGTCCAGAGGACCTGACTTAACTTTGTTGGACTATTAATTAAAGTTGTTTTTTTTTTCTATTTCAGACAATTCATTAAAAATTCTGCACTCAGTGATGTAGTATCATATTTGTTTCCAGTGATTTCTCTATGCTTTAATTTTTTCAGCTGACAATAAAAACTAACAGACATATCAGAGTGAAATAAAAACAAGAAAAATCTGCAACATTATAGAACTAGTGTGAGATTCTGTTTTTTTATTTTTTGTTTGTTTGTTGTTATCTAAGAAGTCTAGTTAATATTTTGTCCACTTATCCCTTTTCATTTTATCCATCTGTTAAAGAAGATCCATCTCTGGTGTGTTTTATTGCTAACACTTGCACTCCCTCTTGCTCTTTATCTCTCCTGGTTAATTATCTGTTAGCATCCACTCGCTGCTAATGAGACCGCTAAACTGTCCAGACAGGCCTCAGGCTGCTCTGTCACTGCGAGTGCATGTACGTGCAACTTGTTTTCAGGGAGTTAAACTGTACAGTGTGAGTGTGTGTGTATTTAATTACAGACATTGTTTATAGTCCCCTACAGGTGTGTATGTGTAGACATTCATTTGAATTCACACACACACACGTGGTCTCTGGTTTGCTGTCACACTGCCAGTTTTCTAATTTAAACTGTATGTTTTATGAGTGATGTCACACATTTCATCACGTCAGGCTTTCTCACCAGAGTTTCTGCTGCCAGGAACGATTGGACGACGGGTTTATGATGTTGAGTCAAGAGCTGCCACCCGGCATGGGGTACTATGTCTGTTTTTGTGGCTGAAAATGTGTTTGTTTGCTATACAATCTGGTGTTCGAGACGCAGTGATGAAGCGTCTGACACACACTTTAATGGGATTTCCCGACCCGTCATCCTTCCCCAAACTAGAACACACTGAGGCAGAGGTGAATTAAAAGACGAGTAGGAGTGATGCTCAGTGAGGTGTAGGGATGGAATGAGTTAAATTGCTAACAGAGGTTTATTACCTTCTCTGAGATGTTTTTGACTTGAATCAGAACTGATAACATCACCTTTTCTATATTTTCTGCTTGGTTTGCTTAAAGCTCTGACCAATTTTTGACCACTAAAGTGCTTATAAATAAAAGTCAGCAGCATTCACAAGTTTATTATAGTCAAAACGTCTCAAACTCCTTGTAAATCAACACCTGGGTTAGGATCCCCCATCAGGGAGCTTTCATATGTCCAAGAAGCTCTGCACACCTGAAAGTCAATGTTTTTTGTTAAGTTGACTTTATTTGAACTGGTTAGCTTTAGTTTTTCTACACAACCTAATATAACTTACCTGCATCCTGGTGTTCTCATCTTCTGGGGTTTGTGTCTGAAGTTAAAATGCCTGTCGTCATTTGCATAAATATGGAAAATGAGCTCAGAGCTTCATTTAGGCTGAAGTAGCTATTCATTCAACTTTTATTTATATACATATAGTTTGGTTCCCATTGAGCCTCAAGGATTCATTTACAAACGAGACCTGTTTCAGAAAGATGAAAGTAGATAAGGAAAAGAGAAACTCGAGGGGAGGTAAAAAAAAAAAAATGAATCGTATCTCACACTATGTCCTGGCCGGAGCACAGTGTGAAAGTTGCTAAAAAAATACTTCTCACATACACAGCAACGTACTAATAACATCATAATACATTTATGCATGACGAGGCCAACAACGATGGTGAGTTGTCCGTGGACACTGCCAGAAAGTTCCATATTCCTGATAAGAGATGGCACAGTGTCTATCAGCCGGCTCAGCTCTGATACAGGTCCACAGATGTCCTTGGGAAGGGGTGGTTGGGGGAGACATAGCAGAGCTTCTTGTTCACATATCCTCCAGGAGAAATTTTAGATAATTGGCCTATTCAAGGCCAAGCGGGGATGCCAGATATCTGAGGGGTATCTGAGGCAGGCTTGAAACACAAGAGTCAGGGTGGCTTCTGGGTAATACCAGATGGCTAGGCCTCAGACTGACGAAGCCTCTTGGACGAGGGGCGAAACGTTTCTTTTTAACAAAAAAAACGAAGTCCAGATGACATGATTCAACCTTTTTTTGTTGTTATATACCTGGATGACTGAGAAAACAAACTTTGTGTTAAACTATTAGTTATTATTATTAAGCTGCAAAAGTAAAAGAAACAGATGGTACGTCAAAAACGAAACTAAAAACAGTGGGGCGAACGACCACCCCGCACCACCGCTATTGAACCCGATGTTATACCATATTCTGTGACCTGCAACAGTGCATGCAACACCGCCCCCTACGGTCACAATATGTGGTGGTCACAGAATATGGTATAACACCGGTTCGCAACGAGCTTCAAGCAGTCAGGAAGTTGATTCATTTTCTGTTTCCTTACAGTAGTTGATCCGGAAGATTCATCTTTAGTGAAATATTTCCAGATTATTGATTCATTTCTACCTGTTTGCCAAGACTGGGCCTGCTCCGCGCTATTCATCTGCTTGTAGGAATCCATTTTGTAACTCGCGCCCGGTGCAGATCACGTGACGCAATGACGTAATGATGACATAATGACGTCACCGCGAATACTCGACGTGAAATTAAAAAACTCGAGACATACTAGTAATCGATGTGTAGATTACTCAAGTAGTATGTTAAAGCCCTACTGCAGACTTAAAAAAAATACATAAAAATGAAATAATACAATAAAAATATATGTTTTTTTTTTGGTTGTGTAAGA